CCCCCCCCCCCCTACCATCTATTATCACGTATAACATATGGCTCGGCCCCTATCCTGTCCCAGCCGAAGCGCTAGGTCCTGTTATTGATATAACCCTACGTAACCCTGGAATAATACGAAATCCAATTAATCTTTTGACAAATAGTTTTCATGTACGTAAATGATAAAGGGGGGGGGGGGAAGACTAAAAGCGCAATTGTAAGGATAGACCTAAGCTTCTTGTTACAGCGTTCTCGCAGTTCTTTATACGGTTCATCAGACCATCTGTTGCGTTGCAGACTGCCAAGATATGTTAAGCGCTGCGGCTAGTATAGGGTAGGAAGGGTTTTAGCTCTCGACTGGATCGCATTCTGTCAAGAGTTTGTCGTGATACCTTTGAAGAATTCTATAGGGGGGGGGGAGGGGTATTATGAGATTCCGTAGCGCTTGGCCCCCATAGCCTGTCCTAGCCGCAGCGCTGGGCCATATATATATAGCCTTCCTATAGTTGCAGTGCTCGGCCCTAAACGCCTGTCCCCCAACCTAATCTTAAGATTTATAAAAGTTATTGATATGTTACAAACACTTTTTTATAATTTGAATGTTCAAATTTTAGGTATCCCTGTCCTTGCAGTTACTAAAGCAAATAAAATGTGAAAGATAAGAGTTTGTAGTAAACGATGTGATGCTATCTTAAATCTAACTATATATAGTTAGATTCAGCTGTGAAGTGAAGAACTAAAATGCCGGAGTGATTTTGGGCAGAGCAATGCAACCCATTGGGCTCTGCCTTATTTCTCTAAAGGAAGAATGATCACAATTCTTTTTAGAGTTATCAATTCATTTTTACACAAGAAATCTTCTTATTTTACACATTTATAATTCCAGCTTCATTCTTCATTTTAAACTTGGAACTTTAATTAAAATTTTAATCTTTGATTAATTTTCGCCCTTAGGCAATTTTATATTAAATCTTTTAGCTTTTATCAATTATCATATTTTTATGATCATCTATTTTTCTATAGATAATCGTCAGCTGTTCGTCCATTCCCACTTTAACAACTTTTAAAGGTATTAATATTATTTTTAATTCAATTACTTTAAATGTTTTGATTCAATTTCCTAAGTAAATCCTCTTCCTAATTTGTCTGGGGTTTAGTCTTAAATTAGGATTATTTATTGATTAAAAAACTTTTTATAAATAAGTTTAAATATATATTACAGGGTCTATTTTGAAGGGTCGCAACGCCTTGGGCTTTGATTTTACCGATCTTACTCAATTATGCCTTTCCGTAGTTACTTATATGTACATTGTAGCACTTTAAAGCACTTGGCTTTGGCAAGATTATTATACTTTTTTTGCTCGAGAGCTTGCAATCTTTAAATCACAGTGTCCTCTTGCACTTAAATATTCCATTTACTATGTTAATAATTATACTTTCAGCTTTGGATAAACTCGTGGAAACCTATGATAGTTATAACGATTATTATGAACACGATCATGATCACAGTGACCTGTATGATCACGATGACAATCATAGTGACTTGAACAACACCAATTATGATCACAGTGATCTGTATCATCCAATAAATGACCGAGTGAATTCTGGTGATGATATTGAAAATCCTTCTGATTCTGATCAACTCCAATCTGATGCAGGTAATTTTCTCATTTAAGATTTAAAGCTTGGTACAAAGCTTTGTTTCTAGTAAACCATCAAAAATAATAAAAAAACTCAATTTTTTTGCATTCAAGCTTTCTTGTAGGCTAAAATTGGTTTATTTCTGTGAATCACATAGTAAACAAATAAAATACTCCATCCTAATTATAGAGTTTTGGGTCGTCTTTAGAGTTTCATCATTTGTGGGTAGCCCTGTACAGTGTACACATAGATTCAAACTGCATTATATAAAATGCATCAATTTTCAAGACTAAATTGTTGCCAAGCATTTGACTTTGATTATACCGCTCTAAATCAATTTTTAAGACTAAATTGTTGCAAAGCATTTGACTTTGATTATACCGCTCTAAATCAATTTTCAAGACTGAATTGTTGCAAAGCATTTGACTTTGATTATACCGCTCTAAATCAATTTTTAAGACTAAAGTGTTGCAAAGCATTTGAATTTGATTATACCGCTCTAAATCAATTTTCAAGACTGAAGTATTGCAAAGCATTTGACTTTGATTATACCGCTCTAAATCAATTTTTAAGACTAAAGTGTTGCAAAGCATTTGACTTTGATTATACTGCTCTTAATCGTGTATCCATGCTACTTAAAAATGAGTTAAAGATGTGACATAACGGGGAATTATTTTTTTTGTTTTTGATGGTTTTTTAGGATTGTTAAAATAAGAACAACTAAATGTAAACATAAAAATTAGCTTTAGATAGCCAAGAATGGGGTGGGGGGGGGGGCTATTGTTTTAAATCAATTAGCAAAACTAAAATCTGGAAATAACTCTTGAAATTACATATATACCTGTAAGATTTATAAAGGAATATTAAATTAGTTTTTAAAATCATAACAGCCCATTAACTTGGACTGATTGAGCTATAGCCTAAATATTTTAGTGAATCATTGCATAGAAAGACGACTGTAAAACTTTTAATGGGATTAAATAGTCACATGAACTTAAACTATAATAATTGTGCAGTGTTCACAGACCCATACCATGCTGGTTATAAGCTGTTTTTTAAACTGTGCTTTAAAGTAATATCAAATGAATATTTTTATGAAATTAAATGTCGTCTGTCAATTCCCCAGTTTTATTAGCCCCACTGACGCGTGTAATGATTATTGCCCAAATATCTCCACGAATTGACTCATTTTATTTTTAAATTATTAATTTTCATAAAGATAAGAAGTAGTTGTATTATTCATATATAAAGATTGTAAGGATGTACATTATAATTATAAACTTAGTGATCTTAAAATAACCTGTAAATTTTAATTATTTCCATTCTCAGAATAAAATGTTGATGTTTTATCTCTAGCTTTGCAACTTTTTTGGCGTAATTTTCCCCCACATTTTTTTCTGGTTTTCTTGAGTTAGAAAAAATGAGAGAAATAAGGCTTCATCTAGGCTTCTCAAGTTCTTCATGTACAAATTTAGATTGACTATTATATTACTTGTAATCTGTACACACAATAATAGAAATAAATAAAAATGTCTTATTTTCTCCACTCCATCTCTAAATGTACCCCAAATTTTGTGACTTCTTGCACAATCATAAGACATATTATAAGCAAATAAAAAAGTCCTAGGTCACTTACTGCCTAGATACTGCCTGAAACATTCTAATTAGCATGATTTTATCTGGTTTCTTTCCAAAAAGACTTTTTCAGATTTTACCGAGGTTATGCTACAATTCACGTCCTGGGACTATTAAAAAAAAAATCTCAAAATTTAGAGACCCTGTCATTTACGGTTAAAAAATATCGCAAAAACAACTACAGTTACGTTTGACTTAAAACCTGAAAATGCACATGATTTTTACGAGTAAATGAATTATCTCTGAAAGGACTCCACAGGGATTTTTAATCTATAAAAGCTAAAATTGCTTGGAATATTTGACCTTAATGAAATATAATTAGATTCCATTATTGGTTAAGCTCAACAAGATGATTAAAAATTATCAATGTCTTAAGTTTTAGCATAAAAGTTCACTTGATTCCTCTAGAATGTAGAAACTGTTGAAACTGTATAAATATCTGAAAATTCTTCTTGTTTATTTCCTCTTTTTATAGAGAAGACAAATATCGAGAAAAGAATCCTAGATTCCCCCTGGGCCTACTCTATTCTACTCCACAGGGTGGACAAACAAATTATCAAGTTTTGGCAAAAAATATTATTATATTATTGGTATTTTACATTGTCCCATTATTGCTTTTAAGATTTTGATTTTGATTTATTCTGTTTTAGTTTTTTTGGTACACCAGATACTAGGATTCCTGGAAAAAAGCAAAGATATGCTTTGATAGAAAAATAGACAATACTTAATATAAAAAAATACTTGTACTGCTAATAGTTGTTTTTCTTCAAGTTGTGCTTTATAAGGAATAATTGTTTATTCAGAGTTACCCATAAAGGATGACACTTCATTCACAATAAAAATCTTGATTTTATATAGTCATTAGGCTCTCTGGTATGTAGTTGTACCTAAAAGCAATTGAAGCTGTGTTTCGGATCCGGATCCGTTAGGTTCTCAACATTTTGGGTCCGGATCCGGATTTAAATGTGCAAATATCAGACAAAACCTGCTAACGAGAAAAAGATTGCTCTCAAAACACAAATATCAATGGTTAGCTATAAAATTAAAACTTACTAATCACTGAATGGCTGTCTTAAGTTTTAGCATCAAAATCATCGAATGAAGAAGGAAAAACATTTCATGTGTTAAAATTCAGAAAATCTTAAAGAAATGTTCAGGAAATGATTCCGGATCCGATATTTGACTAGGATCCATTTTTCAGAGCTGATTCAGGATCAGGATCCGCATCAAAAATAGAGAATATTTAATACTTTTGAGAAAAAAAAGAGTAACAGTGGATCCAGGATCTGCACCCCATCAAAATAAATTGGATCCTTCGCACTTGTTCAAGTTATAATCCATATAAGCTCTCATTGATCTCAATATTTGCTGGTCTGAATACTAATTACTGACAGAATTGTGGACTATAAGCATCATTAATATTTTGTCTGTCTGATCTAATAAAACCAGCAGTGTGTGTGTACTAATTACTTTTCTTTTTGCTTTGAGGGTGTTGTGGAGGACCAGTTTATTCATATATATTTATCATATTTATCCCTGTTTATGTTTACGTGGAAGTTGACCAGTTCCTGTCAACTCCCTCTTTGTACTTTACTAAACACATTGTACGCAAATATATATTCAGACATCCAGTGTTCTCTCTCTTGAGTAGATCTAGTTTCCAACCTTTACAGTGGTAACCCCGACGTTGAAATTTTCACGCAGCCACTATTCACCTACAAACCTGAAATTATACCCATCACCGTCCCTGTATTTTTCATACGGAGCTATATAGTAGGGTCCCTGTTTGGTTCAACTTTATTTATTTCAGTTCTCCTGTGTTTCCCGCTGCCCAGCAGTTTGTTTTCAGCCTGGAGACTGAACAGAAGTACATGATGTCTACAGAACCCGAGGAGCCCCGTCTGACCGCCGTTTCCATCAAGCTACCGCCATTCTGGACTGGGGGGGCCGAGGCCTGGTTCAACCAAGCAGAGGGTCAATTCATTACCAAGGGAATAACAGCCAGTATTACTTGCAGATAATTACCCCAGAACAATTCAGGCCCTGAATAGCAGGGATTACTCCACTTATTGCCCCTACAAGTTACAGTTGCCCCCTCCAAAAAAAGCATTCCCTAATCAGTCTGCTTTTAACACCTTTAAAAAATTTGTGTATAAAGACGACTATTTTCATGAAAGTAGAAGTTTTCTAAATGATTCTCAATTCAAAAGTAATAGTCAAGGTCATTACAACTAGATGTTTTTTTAATAGATAAATTAAGATTTGGTAAAAAAAAGAAAACCCGCTAAAATTTATTAAGTTTTCGAGTTCTTGACCAAATAGAATTCTTCTAGATTTGTCTAAAATTTGTGTGAAATAATTTTTCAAGAAAAAGATTTTACATTCTTTTCTATTTTCTTTTTTTGAGTCTTGAAGATATTGTATTCTTGTTATTCATGACAAGAATTTAATTTCGCTGTTTTCACGAGTTTGACAATTTTGTAGAAACATAAACATGAAACATTTTTTGAGTTTATTGTTTGTTTTGTACAGCTAATGTAGATGCAAGTGTTTCATGTCATGAACATAGTTTATAATAAGCATAGATTAATTAACAATAACAGATAGAACACTAGATGTCGTCTTTTCAAGATTTAGGGATTTTTGTTCACAATAACCCTGAGGCAGAAGCCCAAAGGAGTTACGCGTATGCGGCGTAGAACAAGCCCTCTCTTTGGAGCATGCGCATAACCTTTTTTTTTGTCTACTGCCTCAGGGTTATTGTGAACGAAAAACACAAAAATCTTGAAAATATGACATCTAGTGTTTTATTTGTATTGATAATCAATCTATGATAATAAGAAATAAATTGGCTGTGAAAGCTTGTGAAAATTCATAAATCTACACATTTTAGAGGATTCTTTTACCTCGCCATAACATTTTTGCCTTTTTTTGAAAGTGTGGGGTTCAGTTAGGCTCCAAACAACAAACATTTTTAAGCTGATTGGATCAAATTTTGTGAGAAAACATTGTCTGACCTAAACACTTGTGACAAGGGCGTATACAGAAATAAATGTAGGGGGGGGCAAGATTTGCGCGAAGGGGGGGAAAAATTCGAACTGTAAATTCATAACACTTGGCTTCTTGGATATCAGGCTTAAGTATAAGATACTTAAAAGGCACACATACAGTCCAAATAATTACCTTCTAAGCATTGTTTCTAAAAAATCGACATTTTATTATACTTTTATAGGTATATTTAGTATTTAATAATTTGATCTATTCCTTTTATAGCCTGGTTTGGGTTGATTGATTTATTGAAATGAAAGATAAGTATGATTCGCCTAGGATGTAGTTTATCTTTCGGGCTTCTTTTGGTTTAATGAAAGATGGATCCGTTTCTATAGTTAAAAAATATATATTTGTTGACAAGGACAACGAATACTGTTAGTCTGTTTAAATGTTCGTATGTCTGATCATAACTCCTATATCCCTTGACCGATTTGCCTCACATTTTTATTGAGGGAATTATGTAGATCCACGGGAAATTTCTAAGAGGGTCAACTTTTTGTAAAAAATTTATATAAAGCTGGATTTCCAAGTTAGTTGGGTATAAATTAAATTAAATTAAGTACATAAATCTTTGTCTTAATTTCATTGAACTTTATTTTGTTGTTCTGTTTTAGACTCTGAGGATAATGCCAAGAATAAGCGTGATAGATACTCTAAAAACACCAAGCTAGGTTGTAAATCTAATGGGTGAGTACCTTAAACCATTGCAGTGCAAACCCGTGAACATTGACATGATAGTCGTCTTGATTCTTTCTTTTAATTATGAATTTAAATTTAAACAGAGCATTTGTAATTTCTGGAATGCTCGGGGTACATTTTAAACCAATGAATCATGCAGTTGAAATTACCAAATCCAAGTATTCTGAAATATAAGTAATGAATCACAATTTGAAATGTTTCGCTACTCGCTGTTCAAGAAGTGAGTAACATTAATGTACATTTTTTTTTTATTTTTAGAATCATGTTCAAAGCGTTCTTAGAATATTCAAATGTACTAAGCGTTAAAAAGCCCAAACACAAACAAGACTGTTTTCTCTAAAAGTTTCTTTAAAATACGCAAAATGTTGAAATGAAAGAAAATTTAAAGATAATGTAATCATAACTTCTTAAAAATAAACTAATGAATTTTTGAAGTTTTAAAATTTTTACTTCGCAGATTTTTGTTGAAACATGAGCCACATAAAGCTAAATTAATATTTACGGTTGAAGATATCTAATGAGGAAAAAAGTTGCCTTTTGCCTCTTTGTGTAAAACTTTTTTATTTAACGGAATCTTGAAATTTGTTTTAGATTTCTTCCTAATTTTTGGGATATGTATTATTCTCTGTTTTTACTAAGAAACATTTTAGAACACCTGGCCCACCAGAGTTTGATGAGTCCATCGTAAAACTTGTTTTAATATCAGGTAAACAAATAAGCAAATAAGAAAATATTTTAGGATTTATATTTCTAAACTTATTAATAAAGAAACAAAAGTGCATTTGAATGAAAATTTGTGAATGGAATAATTTTGGATGAAATTATTGAAAACATGTCTTGGAATATATCTTTTACTCTCAGACAAATTTCCATTGATTCTAATTTGTCTGAGAGTAAATGACATTCCTTTTTAAAGAGGGGATTCAATGATAAACCCGAGTGCTTGCGGATTTTGCGGATTTTTTTCCTTTGTAGATTTTCAAAGTATCTTTCAATGAAAATATCCCGGCGGGATTAAATGAAAATTGTTGCATACCAAAAAAACAGCTTTTTATAAAGGAATGTATATTTTTTTTAATTGCATTATTATAGTTGTTTTGCTTGATAAAAAAATTGATTGGGCCAAATTCTTTCTTGCACCATGATTTTGGACTGTCGCGGTTAAAAAGTTGCAATTTTAGAAATTTACAAGAAGTAAAACCTGAACAACTTATTTCGGCTACAACTTACTTTTTTTCTAAAAAATAGCATGATTGCAGTAAGAAACCATAAGAAATACAGGCGTTATTATTAAAATCAATATTATCTAATTGGATGATGAGCTAGAAAGATTTTTGTTACCGCAGATGCAAATTCTATTGGTTCAGAATAGACACAAAAATCGTGACTGGACCATGATTAGATCAGGCGCTTCCGGAAAACTGAAACAATGGAGCTCTAAATCGTATTATAATTATATTAATTGTTATATTTTTTCAGGAGCTAATCTAGGATCTAGGCATGATCTAAACTGTCCTTACAGGGGTTGTCCTAAACCATTAATAAAATGGATCAAGGTAAACTAAACACATTTAAAAATGATTTTTTGAAATTTTCTTCCATGCAGTGAGCATCGTTTATGAATGTAAAACTTGCCCCCTCTCTTTCACTTAATCTACAGAAATATATCAAAATTCAAAATTTCATTTTTTTGGTTTTCAATTTAAGTCAATTTTATTCATTAAAAATTATTTAAAGGAACTGTAAGCGTAAGTTCAAGTGCCCCTCTATGAAAAAGTGGCAATGTCCGATTCACAACAATACCCTGTACAGCTTTTTTTTGATGAAGTTGGAAGTAAATGTCAATGATAATTGATATAATTTTTTTAATTGTGGTTTTAAAAGGAAGGACTTGCGTAATTATACCTCATGAAAACATACTAGCAAATAATCAGAATTAAACACTAACCCAAGAAAAACGGAAATATCTTCCACATTATTGATCAGATAATCGATGACTATAGGTTGTAATATCTGAATGATTTGTTTGATATTAATTTGATTTTTTTACGGTCTAAGTCGTATGTTCCAACTTCCTCAATTTGTATGGGCGCTACGCTCTTCGGTATGAGACGTCTTTATCAATTTTCTCCTTATAGACGCAACAGATAGAAGTAAGATTAGTAGCGATCAAAAGCGCTTTTTTATCGCATTAAGCCTATACCCCCTTTCATTTTTCGCGAACACTCCCTTTAAAAAAGTATCTCATTGACGGCATATAATGAGGATTAAAAATATTTCTATTAAGGACGGAAAGGAGGTGAAGAGAAGAAGTTATGTAATGGGGCAGTCGGAGATATCTATTAATAGAAGACGAGGCAGACTAAGTATTATGGTAGGACACTTTTTAAACTTATACTTTTTCAAGGATTTAATATTATGAAAATTTATGTCTTGATGAAATGTAATAAAGACGATATCGTTTTTTTTTATTTGCGTAAGTGTTAAATTCGGGCAACCGCAATAAAAAATGAAGCAATCCTTGAAGTGATGATTTTTTTCCAGACGTGTATTGATGGTGTTCCAAAACGATTCTTCTCCATTTTAATATATTCACAAGTAAACATAAAATTTCAGATAGCTATTTCAGCTTTATGTAAAAGTTGACAAAGTAATATTCATCTTTTTTTCAAAAAGTATATGATTCAACAAAACTGCTTATTTTAAGATATACTCGTTTCCTTACAATAACAAATAATATTTTAAGATATACTCGTTTCCTTACAATAACAAATAATATTTTAAAATAAGTATAAAAGACAAAATGACGTGAACAAAAAACTAAAAAAAAGTATGTTAAAAATCTAAAATTGTTGTGAAAAGGAAACATCTTATTGTGAATCGCACATGGAGGTTTCTTGAAATTACGCCTGCATATATTTTTATTGTAAATGAAAAATGTTTAAATTATTATTATTTTTACCTTGTTGAGGCATCAAGTTGTCTAGTGTGAGAAAATGATAAGATAATAAAGTTTACAATTTAGATTTTTACATTTTTTCAGGGGCATTTCTTTTCAACCCGACCCCCCCCCCCCCCCCCCCCCCCCCCCCGGACTGAGACCCTCTCTTGAACAAAAAATTAGGTTATGTTCACGGGTCACCAACATTAACAGAACAGTTAAAAAACAACTTTTAAGAAAACAATGATTTCAAAGAGTTCAGCACATAAAAAGAATTTTTTATAAAATATTAATTTTATCCTTCAAAAACCTAATGCATCCTAAGATGGGGAAACATATGCTAAAATTATTTTAACATAAAACCCCAGCTAGTTATGGGACGTTGAAGATAATTCAAGTAACTTAACTTTTTAGATTGGGCATCTCTGATTAACAACAGTACCTTTAAAAGAACTCTATGATCAAGATTTTATGCGATATGCATTCGTTTTTCTTTGAAAATTTATCTTTTTATTTGTGGTTTCTCTATCAAGTGTCTTTCAATGCTTCAGAAACAACAAAGGACATTGTTAGAATTAACATGGTTCAAGGTAGAAATACGGAGAAATCTTCAATGCATTATTTTTCAGATAAACATTGTGAGGGTACCATTGGAAATTATGCTTGCACATAGTCCATACTTGAAATTACAAGCTCGCTTCTATATGTCACGATAAAAATCCTGATAAAAAGCCACTTTCTTTTTATACATTCTGCCATTTTATAATTCTGAAAATAAATAGAACTACTTTTATTTTTTGTCTAACTTTTCATGATGGTTGACTGCTTGTTTGTTTGTTAATAGTGCGGAACTTAAAATGTAAAATTTAAAACTTATATAAACCTTTACTCCTTCAGATTCAACTGTTTCAAACTTCAACTTAGTGTGAGAAATATATTAACCAATTATATTTTTATTTTATACACAAGGAATTTGACAGTTATCAAAGTGAATCAACTTATTAGAATTAATTTTTCTTCTATATATATAAATTTGGCTTGTCTGTCTGTTTGTTTGTTTGTCTGTCTGTCTGTCTGTTTGTATCCAATAAACGTCAAAACGGCTGAACCGATCGAGCCCAAATTTTTTGTGGGACATCTAGGGACCCCAGGGAAGGTTTATGAATGATCAAAATTTCAAATATTTGTCTCCATCAAAATTCGATCTCCATTAATTTTTTAAAAATTTTGAAAATCCACGAAATTTTTGTGAAAATCCGCGAATGATTTATGTTATGTTTTACGATGTACACGAAAAGAACATGTTCACAATTAATTTAGAAGATGGGCGCAGGCTAGTAAGATAAACTTTAACATGAAAAAAACTTAAAGATTTCGAGTTGAAACTTTACGGAATTTAAATTGCGGTAGCAAGAATTATAAGAGGAAATAAATTATAAAGTTTAAAGGGAAATATTTGGCACTCGCCGCTTAATGTTTAATTGAGCTTTTAAATAAAGCATGGAGTTGGAACCACGGGATGGAGTTAGAACCACGGGAATGTCGTAGGTTTGCCTTTTTTGGTTTCCAGGCAAAGCTGGGTTTTTCAAGCTAGTGTTAACTAAAGTAAATATTATGACATCACTAAACATAAAATGTTTTCAAATTGTTAATAATTTAAATTATTATTATGTATATAAAATGTAAAAAATACGTGTTAAGATAATAAGACAAAGGACCATAAATTAGTATTTCTCTGCCAAATTTCCAATTTGTTAAGTTACTACTACGTACAACGATTTTATTTAAGCATTGGCCATAACTTTAAAGATAAGAAGTGTTTGCTTATTATTCAAGTTTTAACCGACCCTTCCCGCGCAATCCAGGTTCAGGGTTTCCGCGGAAATGTTTTTATTAAAAACTAAATGTTATTTTTCTCCCGACGCTATACCGCTTTTTTCTGGTAATACAATATTTGAAACTTGTATTTTAGAATAATCGGCGGCCGGACGATGGTTTCTACACCTGTATTATTTCTAATGAATATGGTTCCATCAATCACACCATTCAGGTAAGAGAAATATGGGAAACAAAAAAACTTCTAACACTCTTAAATGTCGTCTTCTGTTGCACAAGCACATGCAGTGGGATCAAAAAAAGTGAAATATTAAGATGGAATTTAAGCAATCTAAAGTGCAGTTGTCCTTTCACTATCTATTTCTTCCCCCACTACTATCCCTGTTTGGTTAACGATCGTTTTCAAAAACAATTAACAACCCTATACACAGGCTATCATAAAAACTGTATTATGACATACTTGACTACAATTAAAGCTATTGAACTCGTAGCTTACATTGAACTGATATTTATTGTTTACATGTAACACAAATCTATTAACAAATATTACAGGTAACTATTAGATCCCTCAGGGAATCTTTTCAAATCTAATGTGTAATTGATGTTATTTCAAAAATTAGTCTAAAGGTAGCTAGAAAACTTTAATTATAGATTCACTGCACAATTGTTACATTTTCGTTCGACTACAAAAATTACATCTTTAAAAATGGTCTTCCTTTTTATGAAACCCACTGCGTAACTAGTTTAATTATGAACTTGTATTATGTATTTTTTCAGGTTAAATCTGTTGAGGTCCGATTGAACCAGAAGCCTGAAATTAAGGGAAACTTCTCGAGATTTGGCGCATTTTATGGACCTTAATCATCCCTTAATCCTTTTTTGATTTTTACTCCTATTTTCAAATAATTCCTTTATCCTCCAATTGTCTTACTTTTATTTTTAGGTGGTAAGCTTTTAGTGTCACTTTCTTTGTTTTTTTTTCAAGTGTGTAAAGTGCATTGTTTTGATCTGCAATCCTTAAATTTAATGAACTGACCCTTAAGATTAGAAAAGGTGTGAAAAAAGTTTCTATTGCTTGTCCAGGAACCGCTGGAGAACTCTACTTTATTGGTTGGCTCCAACCATACTCTAGTATGTGAACCTCTCACCAGGGATAACGTGCAGGCCAAGAGGATAACTTGGTGGAGGTTAGTTTAGAACTATATGCTTAGACTGTTAGATAATGTGCAGACCAGGAGGATAACTAAGTGGAGGTTATATTAGAACAATAAGTTTAGACTGTTAGATAATATACAGCTTATGAGGATAATCTTGTGAAAGTTAGTTTAGAATAATGAGTTAAACTGTTAGATATTATGCAGCTTATGAGGATAATCTTGTGAAGGTTAGTTTAGAACAATAAGTTTAGATGTAAGCATGCATCTTATGAGGATAATCTTGTGAAGGTTAGTTTAGAACAATAAGTTTAGACTGTAAGCATGCAGCTTATGAGGATAATCTTGTGAAGGTTAGTTTAGAACAATAAGTTTAGACTGTAAGCATGCAGCTTATGAGGATAATCTTGTGGAGGTTAGTTTAGAATAACTAGAAATTCAAGGCGCTTCGCGCCCTTCTTTCTAGCCTTAGAGGGCGCTTCGCGCCCATCTCCTAAATTAATTGTGAACATGTTCTCTTTGTGTACATCGTAAAACAAAACAAAAATAATTCGCGGATTTTCACAAAAAATTTCGCGGATTTTCAAAATTTTAAAAAATTTAATGACGATCGAATTTTGATGGAGACAAATATTTGAAATTTTGATCATTCATAAACCTTCCCTGTGGTCCCTAGATGTCCCACAAAAAATTTGGGCCCGATCGGTTCAGCCGTTTTGACGTTTATTGGATACAAACAGACAAACAAACAGACAGACAGACAGACAAGCCAAATTTATATATAGATGAGTTAGACTGTTAGATAACATGCAGCTTATGAGGATAATATTGTGAAGGTTAGTTTAGAACAATAAGTTTAGATGTAAGCATGCAGCTTATGAGGATAATCTTGTGAAGGTTAGTTTAGAATAATGAGTTAGACTGTTAGATAACATGCAGCTTATGAGGATAATCTTGTGAAGGTTAGTTTAGAACAATAAGTTTAGATGTAAGCATGCATCTTATGAGGATAATCTTGTTAAGGTTAGTTTAGAACAATAAGTTTAGATGTAAGCATGCAGCTTATGAGGATAATCTGGTGAAGGTTAGTTTAGAATAATGAGTTTAGACTGTTAGATAATATGCAGACCAGGAAGATAACTTGGTAGAGGTTAGTTAAGTTTAGACTGCACTTTATGAGGATAATATTGTGGAGGTTAGTCTATAATAATGAGTTTAAACTGTTGGATAAAGTACAGACAAGGGGAGGATAATATTGTTGAGGTTAGTTTAGAAAAATACGTTTAAACTGTAAGATGGAGTACAGACAAGGGGAGGATAACTTGGTGGAGGTTAGTTTAGAACTATAAGTTTAGACTGTTAGATAACATGCAGCTTATGAGGATAACTAAACTTGGTGGAGGTGAGTTTAGAATAATGATTTTAGAGTGTTAGATAACATGCAGACCAGGAAGATAACTTGGTAGAGGTTAGTTAAGTTTAGACTGCACTTTATGAGGATAATATTGTGGAGGTTAGTCTATAATAATGAGTTTAAACTGTTGGATAAAGTTCAGACAAGGGGAGGATAATATTGTGGAGGTTAGATTAGAACAAGACGTTTAAACTGTAAGATTAAGTACAGACAAGGGGAGGATAACTTGGTGGAGGTTAATCTAGAACGATAAATTAAGACTGTTAGATAACATGCAGCTTATGAGGATAACTAAACTTGGTAGAGGTTAGTTTAGAACAATAAGTTTAGGCTGTTAGATAATATGCAGCTTATGAGGATAATCTTGTGGAGGTTAGTTTAGTACAATGAAATTAGACTGTTAGATACCGTACAGAACAGGAGGATATCTTGGTGATTGTTAGTTTAGAACAATAAGTTTAGACTGTTAGATAACGTCCAGCCCAGGAGGAAGGTGATTATTAGTTTAGAATAATGAGTTTTAACTGAAGAGTTTTAACATAGTTACTTAACAGGACTTTTAGGTTTTTAGTTGCATAACAAAAATAAAAATTGTAAAAAGTTATGAAATAACTACGTGATTTTAAGTAACCCTATATTTACATACGCGATATGTGCGATTCACAACCGTACCCTTTTAATCTATGTAATGATCAACAAGAATATTATCTTCATTAATCATTTCTAGAAAGTATTAAATTTCGACATTTCCTTTTTTGTCTCAGCTGCTTAATTCTGGATATATATTTAAAATAGTAGCTTAAAACATATATTTTAATATATTTGTGAATATTATCGTTTATTATGATATATTTTTGATATTTTGTTTATTTTTACATATTTCTAATAAAGTTGATTGGAAGAAGAAGATATTTAGAAATGTTATTCCGACAAAGTTTAAAAGATACTGTTGTGAACCAGGGTCGCCTAAAATAGAAGGTCACTTTACATTACGTCTACAGTCCATACAATAATTTATTGTCATTGCAGGCATTACCAAGTAGATGGAAGCTATACAAACTCGGAAGGGATGGCATACTGCACTGAGTTAGAGGTAAGAATAAAAAAAACTCCTGTAAAAATCCCTTTTAACATTTTTTTTCAATTAAAAAAAAGTTCCATGTTACATCGGTAATAAGCAAAAATGCTATTTATCTAATTGTGGTTGTTTAATTTACATTAGATCTCAGTGTGCGTATTAGATCTAAAAAATAAATTTAAATGCGTTGGCCCACCAGATTCTTTTTCCCTCCTCAGGATTTATCGTAATTTATGATAATTATTTTGTCAAGAATAATTATGTCGTCATGTAATAAATATTTGATTTGATTTGATTTTCATACATATACTCTAGACTTCGAGGGCGCTTCGTACCCTTTTTCTAAGAACACTTGCATGTTAACCGTTGCTCTTCAAGCTGTCATTTTTCTATAAATCTTATTTCGCGGATTTTCTTTTTGAATTTACGCCTTCTCCCAAAAAATTTAATATAGAAGTCTTAGTTTGTGAAGGACAAAATGTTAATCATCCATCAACCTTCCCTGGGGTGATTCAAGTTAAAATGGGACTTTAACTTACAGTGCTGCATCTTTTTAAACGCTTCTCCTTCCAAAAGTATTTTTTGTTCCCCAAAACATCCTCTATTTTTTCGGACACCTTAAAGAGATAATATTTTTTAATAGGTTTCTAGTTATCAAGAGTTGATATGGGGTTGAGGTTGATAAAAGATGAAAAATACATATGTACCCTTTACCTCCACATTTAGATTTCATAGTTTTTCTTCTTCTAACTATGAAGATGATTTTGTAGAGAGAAGAGTGTGGAGTCTAAACGAAACATGAAACTTGATATTTGAATAACTTAAACCTTGGTTTTTTAGACCTTTATGGAGACAAGATTGGACTTGTTAAACTTGCAGGTAATTTTATTTTATAGTTAACAGGTTTTCTCTTCCCTAAAAAAGCATTTGACCGCCCCCCACCTCTTCCCACTATTCTCACTTATGCATTACAAAGGAACTAATTATTCGCTTTAAACTTAACCCCCGATCTCTTGATCTCGATATCCGCAGTGGAGACTTTTTACGCAGAATATGTTTGATCTCTTGATTTTGGATATCAACAATTTCTTTATTTTCTCATTGGGTTAACACAAAACTCCCTGGTTTCTGATTTCCTGTTCACAGGATATATGATTAGCACTTACGGGATATCGAATTTTTTTCTTCATTTATACGTAGATTAACAAAATATCGGAATCCGATATCTATTGCAATATTCACTCAGGACTCATAATCTGAATAATTAAAACTCTATGATATTAAGTTGCAAAGATACAAGGACTACACATTTAGAGTTTAGATGAGAAATTAGTTCATTTAAAAAGCATTCGAGATGTTCAGCCACAAAATCTTGAAAGATACAATTTTGTTCAAGCCCCCTGACATAATAGATTGTCCCGTTGAAAATAGACAGCGATCTAACACCCCTTGGCCATCAAAACCTCACCCCCTTCTCAATTGAGGATGTCGTATCAATTTCCACAAACCAATCTTATCCCCCCCCCCCTTGCTCTCTTGACAGGAAAGATTATCTGATGTTTGTTTTGTGAAGGTTTGAAATAAAGTTTGCATTAAAGGATCTACATATTCAACATTCTTTTCATATTCAGGGAGGATCCGTAGAAATTTTTTTTTTCATTCCAGGGGGATCCGTCGGATTCATTTTTTACAAGGGGATCCGTCCTAATCATTCTTCCCATTTAGGGGGATCCCCCAGAATCATTTTCACATTACAGGGGGATCCTTCGGAACCATTTTTCCCATTCATGTTGAACCATCGGAATAATGTTTCCCATTGAAGGGAAATCCGTCGAAATTTTTTTTTCATTACAAGGGGATCTGTCGGATTCATTTTTTCCATTACAGAGGATTCCTCCGATTCATTTTTCCCATTATAGTGGGATCCGTTGGAATCATTTTTCCCATTCAGGGAGGATCCGTCGGAATCATTTTTTCATTACGGGGGATCCGTCGGATTCATTTTTTTTATTACAGAGGATTCCGTTGGGATCATTTTTCATTACGGGGGATCCGTCGGATTCATTTTTTTTATTACAGAGGATTCCGTTGGGATCATTTTTCATTACAGGGGGATCCGTCGGATTCATTTTTTACAAGGGGATCCGTCGTAATCATTCTTCTTATTTAGGGGGATCCCCCAGAATGATTTTCACATTACGGGGGAATCCTTCCGAACCATTCTTCCCATTCATGTTGATCCATCGGAATAATTTTTCCCATTACAGGGGGATCCGTCGGATTCATTTTTCCCTAACAGAGGGATCATTCGGAATCATTCTTCCCATTCAGGGGGATCCGTCAGAATCATTTTCACATTACAGGGGGATTTGTCGGAATAATTTTTCCCATCATAGAGGGATCCGTCAAAATCATTTTTTTCCCATTCAGAATCATTCGTCGGAATAATTTTTCCTATCACAGGGCAAGACAGTTTGAAAACGGTACAGTGGCTTAAAAGTGTCTTATGAAAGAGTTAAGAACTGGAAGATACGTTAAATAGGGTTTATAATCGTTTCCCGCTCAATTTCCTGTCGGAAAAGTTCTTCTTGAAGCTGATAAAATGCAAATTATTTTAAACAATTATACAAATTAACTGTAAGAGCTTTTTTACTTTTTACCCAGCCACAAATAAATCTAACCCCCCTCCCTGGAAACTACTTTAAAATAAAATTAAAATAATAATGATGTGAAGTGAAATGTATATGTTTCTAGACAAATGACAGTACCTACTACTCCTGCAGCATTGAGAACCATTTCGGGAGCACACTCAGTACAGCATTCATCAACGTTGTCGAGACTTTGGACAAGGATCACGAGAACAGGTAAAAACAAACCATTTTTGTTAAAACTTTCTACTAGGACCACGAGAATGGTTTAATACTACCCATATTGTTTTCAAACTGTCTACTAGGACCGCGAGAACAGGTAGAAACTAACAATCGTCGTCCAAAACTTTCTACTAGGACCACGAGAATAGGTAGATACTAACCATATTGTTGTCAAAACTTTCTACTAGGACCGCAAGAACAGGTAGAAACTAACAATCGTCGTCCAAAACTTTCTACTAGGACCACAAGAATAGGTAGATACTAACCATATTGCTGTCAAAACTTTCTACTAGGACCACGAGAACAGGTAGAAACAAACCATCTATGTTAAAGCTTTCTACTAGGATCACGAGAACAGGTAGAAACAAACCATTTTTGTTAAAGCTTTCTACTAGGACCACGAGAATAGGTAGAAACAAACCATCTTTGTTAAAGCTTTCTACTAGGACCACGAGAATAGGTAGATACTAACCATTGTTGTCAAAACTGTCTACTAGGACCACGAGAATAGGTAGATACTAACCATATTGTTGTCAAAACTTTCTTGTAGGACCACGATAATAGGTAGATACTAACCATATTGTTTTCAAAGCTTTCTTATAGGACCACGAGAATAGGTAGATACTAACCATTGTTGTCAAAACTTTCTACTAGGAAAACGTGAATAGGTAGACACTAACAATTGTTGTTAAAAATTTCTTCTAGGAACACTGGAACAGGTAGAAATTAAACATCTTTGTCAAAACCTATTGGGATCACGATACTATATGGTTAATCTTTTGTAGGTATTCAAGTCATGAGTTTGAAATATTAATGGTATAAAAGGAGTGACCTGCTAGACAAGATAGTTGAACTGAAATTGCAGTATTGAAGAGAAAAACTTAGGGATTCATTTGCTACCAATGAGACATTTTCATGGTGTACAATTTTTGAATAAGATTGTTTAAGTCGTTCGTAATAGTTCAACAGTTGTTTCAGTCACAGAAGAAATGCTTTTAACAATCATTTAATAACCCGGACAAAATAAGAAAAAAATAAATTGTTTTATATAATTTGCTGTTAAGGAACATATTTCTTAACAAAAATTACAGATGAAGGCCACCCTAGCTTTTAAAAACTAATTTCAATAACTTATTTTCAATATGTTAATTATTTGTCGCAACCTGTTTATATACATGGAACTATTTTGTAGAATAGTATGGGTTTCATGTTTTGTCCATGTTAATTAAGAATTGTGAAGAACGTTTCTTCTGCTGACTGAAAAAAACTTGTGAAATATAACAAACGATCCTTTACGTTTTTATTTAAAAATTGTACACCGTAAAAATGTCTTCATGGTATAAAATGGATCCTAATGTATAATACAATACTGCACTTTCAGCTTAACACCATGTTCAGAAAGTCACTCCCTTTTAACTATCAGTTTGCCAAGAAAGATGTTAAACGTTATGTTCTGACATCTTTTTAAGTCGGATAAAAAAATATTGACCTTTTTTAAAGAAATGGATGGTACCTTGTAGCAGCAGTGGGAATAACAGTGCTGGCCTTCATCTTTTTTTTCATCGGTTTACTCATTTACTTCCGCAGGTAGGTCGTCTTTCTCAAATTGACTGTTATCGAATGCTTCGTATATTATCTAAATACTTAAAATATCCCAGAAGATGGGATTCGAATCACAACTAAGTCATTTTTTCCGTTCAACGATGTTCCCAATTCAGAATGATTCCCGGAAAGATTTGATATATTAATAAATCATTTGTTAAATCTTGCATCTACTGTTCGTAGCTCAGAAGAATCGAAAAGATCCCCGAAAATTACTTGCATACGTAAAAACCGCTTTTTCTTATGAACATTTGACAGCAATTTTGAAATCTGGCTCTCGGCTACATCTTTCCAACGGCTCAAAGCGGCTCAATTATGATTCTAAATTCTTTAAATGGAAAGAGTATTTTTTATTTACAAATAAGTAAAGAATATTTTTTACATGTTTCTAAAGTTCGTTTTCTGTTTAATTAATGAAGTTAAAAAAATCAGCTTTTAAAGGACTGTGGTCGTAATTTGAAGTGAAACTCCACTCAAAGAGACACATTCACAACAGAATCCTTTAAACATTAATATGATTGATAGTGGAGTCACAGAAGTTCGTAGTAAGATTTTGACACCACTGGAGACCACTGGAGGGAATTAATTTTCACTGGAGGGGTTTGAAAAAGTGCTTTTTACAATTTAAAACTTAACGCATGGTGATTTACATTCCACTGGAGGGATTCAGATATCTTTCCAGGGGGTTTATAATTCCAGTGGAGGGATTCAGAAATCTTTCTGGGGGTTTATAATTATAAACCCCCTGCCAGTGGAATTATAAACCTCTAGGAAGGATATCTGAATCTCTCCAGTGGAATTATAAACCCCCTGGAAAGATATCTAAATTCCTCCAGTGGAATTATAAACCCCATGAAAAAATATCTGAATCCCTCCAGTGGAATTATAACCCCCCTGGAAAGATATCTGAATCCCTCCAGTATAATGCAAATCACTGTGCCTAAAGCTTTAAATTGTAAAAAGCATTTTTTCAAAGCCCTCCAGTGAAAATAAACTCCCTCCGGTGGTCTCCAGTAGAATCAAAATCTTACTACGAACTTCTTTGAGTCTTGATAGTGTCGTTTACTTGCCTGATTTTTTTTGATTTCTTCATGTCTGTGAAGCAAGAAATTTGCAAGTCACCTTTTCAGCGAAACCACAAATAAAATTATTACGTATATATTATTCAGTCTTGATTAGACAAAGTGTACATTTGTGAATTAGACATGTAATTCTGTCAATGGAGGGTTACTTGAAATTATGTTACAGTCCCTTCAAGTGCGACAGTCTTATAATAAAGTTTATTCACTGTTAAAAGTTTTAGTTCCTCGTAATTTCAGGAGATATAAGGATAAATTGGATACTGTCACTCATAAATTGGATACTGCCACTCATAAATTGGATACTGTCAAAATGCATGTTACTCAAGTAAAAACGGTAAGAATGTATTAGTATCTATGTACAGGGTTTTCTACAAAGACTTCAGAGACGACTAAGCGGAATGTGTTCGTCTGTTTCCTTATAATGATCTCTGCAACTATAAACTTATTTCTTTCTATGCCAAATTGTTAAATTCCAGACAGAAGATTTGCTTTTAACTTGAAATAGTTGTAAAAGAATAGTTTTCAGTTTTAGAAAATGACTTTTAAGTGACGGGGGGGGGGAGGATATGATTTTTACAGAAAATATACAGTATACAGCCCATTTTATTTTAAAAATCATATTACTGCCTTTAAGTATGATGGAGTTAAAAATATTCGGTTTAAAACAAAACCTGTAAAACTTTTTAGTTTAAAAACTTGTTCCATAAAACTTAATTTTTTTTATACAAAGAAAAGAACATCTAACCCTACCTTTACTGATTTACTAATATCCTGAAGCATGATGTAAGCCATGTTAAATAATAAAAAGATCTGTCTCATTACATATTTATTTTAGCTTATAGTGTCCAAAGGGGATTCATTAGAGCCAATCATAACTTCAATCAAGGTAAAATATATATTTATAGTGAAAACCATAATATTGTCAAAATTAATTTAAAATGTTTAATTTTAAGGGAGAGACCGGCTAGGCATGGTAGATGAGCTGAAAGTGCAGTATTGTAGAGTAAACTTTAAGATTCATTTGATACCAATGAAACATTCTTAAGAATTCTAAAAGAACCGGTAAAATATTACAAACTACTACTCTCTTATTTTAAAATTGTACCCCGTAAGAATGTTTCATTTGTATTAAACGAATTCTTAAGTTTTTCTCTACAATACTGCACTTTCAGCTCAACTACCATGTCAAGTCGGTCTCTCCTTTTAATTGAACATTAAACAAAGCAATTGTGCAATTTACACATAACCTTTCAATCTACTGCCTAAACTTTTTGCTTTTGAAACAACATTAAATATACATACTACCTCTTCCTTAGTTTTATAGGCACCACTGTACAAATCCTATTATTTCTTAACATTTTCAGATTATGTAAGATTTTGATCTAATTTGATTCACTGTTTCTTAGGAAAGGCAAGAGCATGAAGGAGATGCTGCTAATTTTGAGTCAGAGTACAAATTTCCGGTAATCTTATGTTTTCCATTTGCACTAAAATTTCCGAGTGGCATGTTTGATCCACAACGGTCGTACATTTAAACTTTTGTCTGATTAAGAATGACGGACGTAGAAACGTTGGTAACTATATGCAAGCTGATGTATTTTTCGACATATTTATTGTGAATCGGTCAACTTGAATATTTTAATTTGTGTTTTTAATACTGCGTTTTACTAATGAATTTATATTTTTGGAAATACGTGACTTCATTTGTATGCACTGAGGCTCTTATGTACACTTCAGTTTTTGGATTCTGAAAATATAAATCTAGCGGATCTCATCGTCGTCGATGATCAGAAAATGGAAATTGTAATATAATGGTTTTGCCGCTCTTAAATTTAAGTTCTTATACAAAAAAGTTGTAGAAAATGTTTTAAATCTTTTCTTATTTTTGTCAAAATATTTCTTTTTTAAAATGACTTGAATTTTCTAGGAGGATCCGCTTTGGGAGTTTCCTAGACATCTTTTATCTTTTGATAAACCCCTCGGCGAGGGTAATTTCGGATGTGTCAAGTTGGCAAGTGCAATTGGGGAAATTAGGTAATGTGCTATTTCTGATGTCGTTAAAATTACAAACAAAAGAAGTTCAATGAGAAAGAAATGTTAGTAATATATTTTAAAATTCTAGGTTTATTTACTCAATACAAAACCGCATAGCTTACATGTGTTTCATATCTTTTTTAAAAATTTATTTTTAAATTAAAATTTTTTTTTATAAACAAAACTACAGCAGAGCAGTAAATATATTATCTTCTTTTTATCTGATGATACATCTGTTTTCTGTTCTTCTCTTTTAGATCTACGCATTCTAGTCTCTTGTAGACAAGGGGCATTTTGACATATTTCCGATTCATTGATTAGATATCTTGGCGCCTCAAATATCAAATTGAGTATAATTGAAAGTTACTGTTTGTGAGTAGATATCAGATGTTTTTCCAGTTTTTGGTAATGTCTGACTCAACAACTGTTGATGGTTAGCTTCAAGCACAGTTTCCTTAATATTTTTACAGGTTGGAAAGTCACTAAGCGGTGTTTGAAAATTCTGAGGATTTCCATTAATAATGACAAACGAGATAAGAAAGGTCAAGGCTAGGAGTAGATATTTTCAACAAAAGAATTCTTGATTCTTTTAAGTTCATCTTGGACACAGAATACAGCCTCGTCTACAGCAATCTTTTCCTTGTAGCCGTCAGAGTATGAACCGGTATCATAGTGCATGGTGCACAACCTATCAGGATTCTACTTTCTATGATCCCATTTTCATGTTTCTGGCAAGAGGGAAGATAGTGCATGGTGCAAAACCTATCATGATTCTACTTTCATGTTTCTGGCAACGAGGGAAGGGGAAGAGAGAGAGAGAGAGAAATCCCTCCTTCTCTGCACTATTGTTTTTTTTTCAAGTAGGGTGTACTGCCATGTTATTCCCCAAAGGGTTCTATTCAGCCACAAGAAACTGGAGAGAGTTGTTTAAGAACCTGACTTGTTCTGAGCTCCCTTAAATTTTGGGTGCCCCATTTTGCAACAAAATATAGAAATATTGTCACACAAATAATTTGATATCAGTTTTCACATGATATTTTATTTTAATCTATGGTAAGTGGTCGTGCAAGGCCCGTGCAGATCGTAAAAAAGTCTGCATAGCTCAAGACAAATATTTCTTGAAGTTATCATGTCAGATATCACTTTCTTCATAATTGTCAAAACAGATTAAATCCATTAAAATTTTTGAAAAATTTCTAAAGTTGACTGCGTTAGGTTAAAAAACCTCCAAAAATATACTTTTCTTGAAAACCAGCATTTTTGACGTGTTTTTTTGTCTAACTCAGTAAATTTTTAAATTTTTTAAAAATTTCAACGGATTTGATCCTTTTAGACAATTACGAAGAAAATGATATATGACATGCTAAATTCAAGAAATATTTTTTTTTGAGCTATGAGTGATCTACACAGGCCTTGCAAGATCACTTAAAATGACCTAAAAAAAAGATTCTTGTTATAACTGACTTCATATAGAACAATATTAGCCTGAGAGTTACCTATGGAAAGTCGGACTGAAGCTTGAACTTGCAGCAAGAAGCTAAGGATTAATCTCAAATCATGTAAAAAATGTGTTTGTTAGAAGTCAGTTAATCAAAACAGTACACTTTTCATGTACCAGCCGCTCTGGGCTACCACCATACTATGTAAACTATTGTTAAGGGATGGTCGTCTTGTGACCCACCAGGATCCGACCTCTCAATCTAAGGTAAATGAGAAATCCGCGAAAGCAAGGTCAAAGTCTTCTAAATAATTAACAAAATTCAATCAATTAAATGTAAGTCAAAATTAAATTGCTTCAATCTACGAAAGAATTTCATTTCGCTCTGTTGAAGAATTAAAAACCGTAAAAATTAAATTGAGGTCTCCAATAAATTCTAAAAAAATTATATGTTCAATTCTGTCCTCTCAGTTCTAGTACCATGTCAAGCCAGTCTCTTCCTTAAAAGACGCCATGAACAATACACATCTCCACAGTTTACCCTGGTCTTTAACATGAACGGTAAAAAAATCTACAGCAAAGACAAGAGAGAACGTTGACAAGATATGTTCCATTCAACAGAAAATTTATTTGACTTTTTAACTTAACGACAATTTGTATTTGATGGGATATGATTTGATTTTATTTGCATGATGTTTCACGTCTTGAACCTCAATTTTTCACTCGACACTCTAAAATCGTTTTCATTCTTAACTCGCTTAAGCTTTACTCTGTCATAACCCTTAAATGAACCTATGAACTTCAACTCTTCACTCTTTATTCTAACTTTTCCAACTCTTTTTAACTAATTCTTAACTCTGTTTTATTCTTTGTCTTAACTCTTGACCTAAAACATTGAACTTCTCTAAAATTTAATCTAATATAACTGAAGAGGGTGATGGTGGCCGTGAAGATGGTGAAGGAGTCTAACAATGACGAGGATGTGACGGGACTACTTAGAGAGGCCGAGATAATGAAGGTAAAAAGTATTTTAGCTCTGAAAAAAATGAAAAAATAAGGAAACAATATCAAAATGATTTTTTCACAAAACCATTTTTGTTTTGTTAGGGGATTGGAAGCCATCATGAATATTATAAACCCACAAGGTGCTTTATATTAGAAAATTATCCACTAATCTTTAAGGTGATTGGTAGACATCAGAATATCATCAACCTTATTGGAGTCTGTAGTCAACCTGTGGGATCTCATCTTCTAGGAAATCCAATTTTAACTCATACTTAGAATCAGATTAGTGCCAATCAAGGTTATAATTCAAGGAAAGTTATTTCAGAGGTGTACTCATCTTTTATACTGCAGTGCCTTCTCTGGGCGGTAATGTAAAGACAAGACGGATGTCACAGCCTTACATGGGATCCATCTTTCACATTAAAAAAAAAATCATTGAAATATTTTGCTTAAAGGAAACTATTATGTGAATTATCACAATTATCAAAATTCAATGCTTTTATCCTCCACGGATACTAAACAAACAATGATGCATTTTTTCTTGTTTTAAATTTCCGCCCAGAGAGAACTGGCTTCAATTTGTATACTTGGAGAATACGCAACTGCAATTAACTTTCCTTGCATTATAACCTTGGTGCCAACAACGACCGCAACATTGATCTTTTGAACTAACCGTAAGAATGAGTAATGAGTACCTGTTAGAAAAACTAAAATAATGATTTTTTTTTGGGAATTTCTAGCCCGTTTTTGGGAAAATTGACTATTATTTGAACACCAATAAATTGAAAAATGAACCGTTATGTTTCGATTTTTCTCTTTCGACGAATCAAATTTATTCTTTATGGATGTATCTCTCTCACATGTCCAACAAATATATGTTCTGTGCCAATAAGAGTGCTTAGATACGAGTCGATAATTTTGACTCCCATTCTGATTTTAGTCCTTCGACGGATCAAGTTCATTCCTTTCGAATATATCTTACTCAAGGTCTGCTTTGTGCCAATTGATGGTTAAATTATGAGTCAATCGTTTTCAACAATTTCTCTGTTGATATTAATGAAGTCTTTGCACATTTTCTGAATATTTTCCCGCCTCTGAATAATGTATTTTATTACCACAAATAATGACTTCTTTTGAGCCAAGATTGGATGTTGTATCAGTTCTCGTGGAATTTGCAAAGTATGGAAATTTAAAAGAATTTTTAACCAAAAGGTGAGAAAAGAAACCAGCGGCCCTGTACACGAACACTCCCCCCCCCCCCCCCCCCAGGGGGCATTTTTTTTTGGGGGGGGGGGGGTAATTTCGCTAATCAAACAAATCGGCGCTTATAATAGGGGGTAACAAGGGGGTGGGGGTAAAAATAAGCCTGTGCCCCTGAATGAAGCACACATAAAATTAGCATAAACAATTTATTGTGCAAGACTTTTTTAGACTTTCTCAGCTCTTGAACTTTGTTGTAAAAGCTTACAAATTACTAATTCGAATGTGAATTAAGCAGCTATATTCTTAATTTCTTTGTTATACTTGCAGAAGTGTCTACTTTTGTTACTGTTTTTTTTTAATTTAATAGGATTTTTGGGCGCTTCGCGCCCATCTTGTATTTGAATTTTAAACATTTTCTCTTTATATACATTGTAAAACAAGAAAAAAAAGTTCGCGGATTTCATAAAAAATTTCGTGGACTTTCAAAAATAAATGAAAATAAAATTTTTGAAATTTTGGTCATCCATATACCTTCCCTTGGATCAGGTGATCCCACACAAACACTGTTCCCAATCGGTTTGGCCGTATTGACGTTTATTGGAAACAAACAAACAAACAGAGAGACAGACAAACTAAGTATATAGATAGATATACTCCATTAAAGAAATAGAACTAACTGTACTATACGTAAACACCAGAATTGCCAATTAAGAAAGGAATAATAATGATTTCAATTTTTAAAGCTTTTAAATATGGATTTGTTTAAAACCGTGGCCCATTCCAACATTCCTCATTCATTGCATCAAGTTATCTACTGATTATTGTTTTGCAGAAAACCTGGAACTCTGGAGCTCTTAAAGGAAAGAAGTCAGGGGAGAGAACTTCACAAACCGGTAGGGAGCAATTTTCTGTTTTAATAGAGAGCTTATATGACAAAGACGAGGTATATGGCCGTGATAGAAATATTGTATATTTGCTCAGTTTGGCAAAGGTTTAGAGGTTAGATAAATTGACAGGTTCTCATAAAGTTACAACGCAACATCTATTACATTGCTTTAGACAAACTCCCCATTTTCTTCAAATATTTAATTTTATTTTCAACTTTAATTTCTTATTTCATTCTATTCAACACATTGTTTAATCCGGTTTTTTGATTAATTTCATAAAAAAAAACTCAAAGGGTCTTTTTTCAGTACAAATCTAGATCTGAAAAAGCTGATCCAAGGAGTATAAGACAATACTTAAATTCACAGTGCTTAGGATCCATTTATTTTTGATGCGGATCTGGATTTTGGATCCGCACCGGGAACTGGATCCGGATTCAGGTCATGAACATTGAACATTCTAGAAGATTTACTGACATTTTTTATCAAAGCAGAATTCTTAAATTATTTTCTCCTCTTTTTGCATGTATTAATGTTAAAACTTGATGAACCATTCAGATATCAGGAAATTTTTATAATCTCTCTTTTTTATTTAACAGTTCTGATTAGGGTTTTGAGAGTAAATTTTTTTTTTGCAGTTTATATTTGTCATTTTGTCCCTTGGATCCAGATCTGTGAATCCGCATATTTTTGTGGATCCGGATCCAGGAAGCCAAATCTTGCGGATCCATTTGATCCGGATCTTAAGCACTGCAATTTAAAGAGTATTTTATGAGAATTTATTTAGGTAACAGATGATGAGATCGGTCCTGTGAGTCTCAAGATGATGCTTTCATTCGGAGTTCAGGTCAAAACATTTTATTTAAGGAACGGTGTAAACAAATTGAAGGATTTATGCCCAGATGTCGACGACAAGCCAATTCATGCCTGGACAATTTTATGCGTCACTTTAGTCACTAGTACAAAGCCGCTATTTACTTACTGATTGTCTAATTTTTACTTTCTACAAATTTCGTCGGAAACCCTTTGGTTGGAAATGTAAATCTTCAACAAACATTACTTATTTAAATTGACGTATCTTTGCTATTAAATTACATACGTATTATCCCCAACATTCATGATTTGATTTGATTATGTAATAAAGTTTAATTGGTTTTTATATAATAATTTGCTTTTTCTTGTAATGCAGAGTAAAATTTTTATTTTCTTAAAATATTCCGCAGTACAAGATTTAATGCGTTTTTCTTATCTGGTGTATTATTAGCAATAAAATGTTTAATTTTATAGTCCTGGGGTTTTTATACGTATATACATTGTAAAATACATATTTTGCAAAACACATTCATTGCAAAATACATATTTCGATTAACTTGGTTTACTTCTTAATTTAACCATATTTTAAATCCATGTTAAAAATATTACAGTTTCAAAATTAAAATTAACTGCTTTTAAAATGTGCAGGTGGCTAAGGGAATGGAATTTTTATCCAATAGGTAATAATTTTATAAATATTTCCACGGATGATCTCATAAAAAATCTATTTCATATTTATGTGGATTGTCTTTATAATACTTATTAACATTTCTAAATAAAAATGAACTAAATATGTTTTATCTCTATTTTCATGTAAAAAATGCCTTACTCCAATATTAATTTAAGTGTGTCTCAATCCACACACAACGATATCGAACTCTATCCATTCTTCCGAATCCTGTCAGGCCTAAGCATGTATTTTATCAACACACAAAACTATCAGACTCTATACTCTCTACCGAGCTATCGTATCTCTAGCCGTCCGTAACCAGAGTCTATATTCAACTAACCATATTTTAAGTATAAGGTACAGATAAAGATTAAACTGACCGATAATATGGTCAGGTGATTATATCTTAATATATATACAGGTAGGTTCAGGTTTCCAAGATGTGGGGGTTATTACTATATTTATTACATTCATTTTGGAGGACCCAAGTTTTAGAAAGCAAATACTTTTCATATTTAATTTATCAGTCAAAGGCTATCCAAATACTACAATGCTCTTTTGGACGCTCATTAGTAAAAAACATATCCTACTAAAATCTTTTTTTTTGGTAAGATTCTATTTTTCTTTAAATTCATACATTTCAGTATTTCTTTAAATGAAAACTGTCAAAGAAATCCTTACAATTTGTCCTCTAATCCATTTATACTATGAGGTTTTTAGAATAAATAATGTCAAATTATATTCTTGAAATGAATTAAGTGTTCATAATTCAGTTATAGTTTTTAATTACGTTATTTTTTTTTCTTCATAATTTGTAATCTTTTAGTTGTTGAATTTACAAGGGGGTAATGTTTATTCTTTAATTCATTTTTTTCTTATATTCAAATAGGTAGGCATTCTCAATAGTGGGATTCAGCGAACCACTCACTATTTAGACTACAAAAAACATTAAAAAAATTAAGAATCGTCTAAACAATTTTTATTAGACGAATCAAATCATTGAAATTATTATGAAGGCAAAAAAAATTCTGTTATATTTTATTTTTTGAAAATTTTTATACTTAATTCAAACTTGAAACCCATTTTTGAAATATGAAACATCAAGTAGTCCAAAAACAAATTCATTGCATCAAATATTGAAGCAAAATTAAATTAAGACCGGCTAAATATACATATGGACAATTACGAATTTTTTATTGCAATATATGTTGGATGGTTAACTGACTTGTAAAAATGTACATTCGAACAAGTTCACTTTTAAGTTCAGATTTTGAATGTTCCTGTAGAGTTTAGACAACTTTTTCTGTTTTTATAAACGGGTCGAGAGATTTTAGACTCGGCATAAAGAAGAAAAAAGAATTTCTCTACTTTAGCATATTTTAGCTTTGATAAAAAATATTATTTCACTTCTGGTTTTCTTCCACAATACTATATAAATTGGAACGTTCTACATTTTAATGATACTAATTTTAAGACGATGTGTACACAGAGACCTAGCTGCCAGAAATGTACTAGTTGCTGATAACTTTACTCTTAAAGTAGCAGACTTTGGATTGGCACGAGACGTTCAGGTAAATTATTAGATGTCACTCTTAAATGCATGTCACTTTAGTCTGAATTCATGTCACTTTAGTCTGAATTCATGTCACTTTAGTCTTAATTCATGTCACTTTAGCCTGAATTCATGTCTTTTTAGTCTAAATTCATGTCACTTTAATCTAAATTCATGTCACTTCAGTCTGAATTCATGTCGCTTTCGTCTGAATTCATGTCCATCAGTCTAAATTCATGTAACTTTAGTCTAAATTTATGTCACTTTAGACTAAATTCATGTAACGTTATTCTGCATTCATGTCTTTTTTTCTTCACGTCACTTAAGTCTTAATTCATGACACGGGTATAAATTCACGTTACTTTAGTTTTAAATCATGGTCACTTAAGTCTGAACTCATTTCACTTTTTTCTTAATTCATGTCATGTTGGTCAAGGTTCATGTCACTTATGTCGACATTTACGTTACTTTAGTCTAAATTCATGTCACTTGGGTATAAATTCATTGGGTATTTGGTCTAGGTATTTTCCACTTTAGTCTTAAGTTAACCTCACTTTTGTCTAAATTCATGTCACTTTAATCTATAAATTCGAATTCATTAGCGTTCTAACAGCTATGCTAGCTGAACCGCCTTTTTACAAGAAGTAATTAAGAATAAAAATTTGTCGATGTATTTAACGTTTTAATTTTCTTTTTGCAATTTTGAAAATAATATTTAGAATATTATTGCTGTTTCTAATATTATAATAATTATCTTAAAGTACCTGAACTGTCTGTAGAATTTTAAAAAAACACTTGGGAAACATTTTGAATTTTTGAATAAAACTTTAATTATTTTTTCTTTGTTACACCCCAGGGTGATTTAAAAAAGTCAGCCAATTTGTTTCAACCGTTTGGACAGATATTATAGTTAAAATATAGAGCAAAGAGCTTTATTATATTGATGTTATAACTATCATAATGTTAAATCATTATCATTTTATGTTTACATGTATTAAATAGGAAAAAGACTATTACCGGAAGGAAGGAAAGGGAGGGTTACCGTTGAAATGGATGGCGCCAGAGTCTATTCAAGAGCGTATATCTACAACAATGTCAGGTACAACTCAGGGGTGTACTGTATAGTGTATACTTTAAAAACCGTCACCCNGGGGGGGGGGGTGCTGCTTATTGGATTTTGCCGTTGAAGGTAGAGAAATAGTTCAAAGTTATTACATCATCAAGTTTCATTTTCTGCTTTCCCGCATAGTTAATGTAGTGGTGTTCAAATCTCAGATATTTTGAAAGTTTAATCCCTGAATTAAAGAAATAAATATTTTGTAGGCAAAAGTAAAGGGACCGTAAGCGTAATTTCAAGTGACCCTCCATCCAAAGATAACGTTTACTCTTAAAAGCGTTGTCTGATCAAGTATGAATAATAACTGCGTGTTTTTGTTTTTAAAATGGTATTTTCTTTGTAGTTTCTCTTCGTTTCTTATTTATAGGAAACACAGGAGAAATTAACGGGATTAAGCTAATTTTTGAGTCAGTAAAACTACGCTATCTTCCACATTTTGATCATGACCAAGATTTTAAGGGTCCCGTTGTAAATATGGTATTGACATCTCTTCATGGAAGATAATTTGAATTAGCTTAATTTTCCTTTAGACTCTATTAATGATTTTAAATAGTTCAAAGTTCGCTTGCTTTCTTTTTTATAGTTTTTGGTCATTTGTTTTCCGTTTTTATATTTTGATTAAAATTTTTTAATTTTCGTACCTTTTACCCCCGCGACCTTTTTACAAGGAACAGTATAGATATTGCATAGTTGGATATATTAATTTTTATCCCTTAGTATCTCATTTATCAACAACACCGCACCCGATTCAAATTTTTTTCTTGTGTCTGGGAAGGCCAAATTTCCTGGTTTAGATTTAAATTTTATTTTTATTATTTTCCAAGATGTTTGGTCATTCGGAATTCTGCTTTGGGAGATTTTAACGTTTGGGGATTCTCCATACAAAACAATACAAGACCAGCTGACCTTAATGGATTTCATTCAGGTGAGTTTTTAGTTGAAAAATAACTGCGTACTTGCCGCAAACACTAATCATCCCTTTATATTCGTAACCTGATGCCGTAAACCTATGATATTACAAACACATCAAAGTTTACATTTTAGGCATGTAATCAGTTCTCTTATTCTTTTCTGAATCCTATATGTTAAAGCTGCAAAGTATTTATGTATGTCGATTGTCAGAACACTTGAAAAGTTGCTTTAACAATATAAACGCTTTCTTAACATGCGTTCTGAATGTGCGTCCTCATTTATTTGTTCCTCGTGATTAGTGCTTCCTCATCAGTACCTCATAATCAGTGCGTCCGTCATAATTAATGCGTCCTCATTAGTTCTTCATAATTAATGCGTCCCCATTAGTTCTTCATAATTAATGCGTCCCCATTAGTTCTTCATAATTAATGCGCCCCCATTAGTTCTTCAAAATTAATGCGTCCCCATTAGTTCTTCATAATTAATGCGTTCTCATTAGTTCTTCATAATTAATGCGTTCTTATTAGTTCTTCATAATTAATGCGTCCCCATTAGTTCTTTATAATTAATGCGACCTTATTAGTTCTTCATAATTAATGCGACCCTATTAGTTCTTCATAATTAATGCGTCCCTATTAGTTCTTCATAATTAATGCGTCCCCATTAGTTCTTCATAATTAATGCGTCCCTATTAGTTCATCATAATTAATGCGTCCCTATTAGTTCTTTATAATTAATGCGTCCCTATTAGTTCTTCATAATTAATGCGTCCCTATTAGTTCTTCATAATTAATGCGTCCTCATCAGTACCACATAATTAGTGCGTCCTTATTAGTTCTTCATAATTAATGCATCCTCATCAGTACCTCGTAATTAGTGCCTCCTTATTAGTTCTTTGTAATTAATGCGTCCTCATCAGTTCTTTATAATTAGTGCGTCCTTATTACATCTTCATAATTGGTGTGTCCTCATCAGTACCTCATAATTAGTGCGTCCCCATTACCTCTTCATAATTAATGCGTCCTCATCAGTACCTCAATTAATACGTCCTCATCAGTACCTCAATTAATAAGTCCTCCGCAAGTTACACACCTCTGGTATCTGCTCCGGTCGAGAAAGTCCTCCTAGTCCTGCCCAGGCAAAGGTAACCCGGCCACTTCTAGGATAGGAACACTGGGAGTAAGGAGGAGAGGAGCCGCCTGGTCTGGTACGAGTAGAAGGAGCTCGAATGCGCACAGGACCGGCCACAGAAGAGAGAGAGAGAAGCGAAGGATCCAGGGAAGAAGGATCCAGAAGTAATACAGTAATAACACAGGAAGGCCTTCAGGATCTTCTTGGCATATATCTGGAAAAAGGACACCGCTAGAGATAAGGCATAAAAGAGATAGGAAAGCAATGGACAAGATAAAGATCACAATAGTATAAAGACTAGCGGTGCCATCCTGGAGGTGAAGAGGACAAGAGAACAGCTACGATGAGAACCTAGATATAGGATCTCTGAGTGGGGTGGCGCTGCCCTCCAGGATTTTCTTCCCTTTAATTTGTAATTTTTAAAGAGAAGTTGGCCTGTCTTTTTGTAGATATACTATTACTATTAGATGAGAAGTGATCTTTCTGTGAAGGAATAGAGTCTAGTATCAATCAGGTCTGATTCTGAGACTGAGCGTTTCCTTCTTGTCCAAATGTCTTGGTTCATGTCGGTGTCTGACGATGCCATTGTGATATCTGGTACACTTTCGGCTAGGAAGTGTGTTTGAAAAACATTATCTTCATCAGAACCATACATGTCATCCTGCCAGAGTTGCCCTATTGATTGAGCCTTCGGCAGAGGTATAGGACGATCAGGATCTGGATTCACAGATGATGAATGTGACACATCTGTTGACTGAGCGCCATCAGTTTGTGGTATGTTAAACATTTCATCAATTTCATCTGGCTGATGTCTTCGACTTTCGTGGAGATAGTTTTGATTCAATTCTTGATGTGAAGAGCGAGATTGCATCTCTGTTTCAGCTCTTTCAGGGAAGGGAGTTGAACTTGATAAAGATAGTCTGGCCTGTTCTCTAGCAAGGGATTCAAGGGATTTGTGTGCCGCGTAGGGTTCAGGTGAGCCATCACTTTGACTCAGCCTGGCGAGGAGAAGTTGTCGTTCCCAAATCTGCCGCTGAAGGTGATAATGGTAGTCTGGGGACTGGGTGTTTGATGCTTCTGGTTCTATGAGGTTTGGTTCCGTATTAAATATGTGGGGTAATGAATCAGGTGATAAGGATTCAACAGCCGGTTCATGTAGAGATTCAATATGGATGAATGGTTTAATTTGTTCTTCCTCATTATCAGAATCATCGTCTGAGCTGTAGCTTTGAGCATGGGGGTCCCAGGACAGAGGGGGGTGTGATTCAAGATGATCTCGATTGATCTGAAGGTTGAAAAATTGCTTGAGTGGGAATGCTTGAGACTGTCTTATAGATTGACTTTGGTGGGATGTTTTAATAGGTTTCCCCAATGTGGGATTGAGAATTTTCTTTATGTTCAAGATTTCACCTTCCTGGCCCGTCACAAGGAAAGGTGAACGGATGCTGTGTTTGGATGAGTTGGATTTTAGCATGATTATGTCTCCAGTCTTTGAGGTGTTTATTACTTTAGGAGACTTCTGGGTTTGTTTCTGATTTTCTAGTCTGGCTTGGTGAGATTTATCAATGATGAGTTCATCAGGGATAGTTAAGACTTTGTTTGTGTTTTCATCTCTCCTGAATGTTATGTCTGAAGATGAGTACCCGTGGTGTCTGATTAGAGAGTTGACTCTCATTGTGGCTTGGGCTAGTTGAGTTGGAGAGATTTTTTTTTCAGTGGGGTCAACTTTTCTCAGCTCATTTTCAAGTTCTTGTATTGATTTATTAACATGACAGTTTTTGTTTTTGTTGAAATCTTCTCCAAGAATCATGGTGATTCCAATGATGTGCAGATCTGGATGTGGATTATCTGCTAGTGATTTCAGTGCCGGCGCTGCGTCAGTCCGGACGATGGTGTAATTGCTTCTACGGAGGGGGGTGACTAGACGAATGATCCCTTCAACAAGATCCTCTTTCCTTTCAGAGGTGACAAGAGTTGTTGTTATGAATTTTGAGAAGAGATCGACATTTACCATGATTAGCTGGCCAGCTCTCTTGATGATGTCTACATTCATATGGGTCCCTGGCTGTTCTGGTGGTCTGGTTGTGTGGAGATCAGTTTGCAACTGAGGTATTTTCCTGACAGCGTTGCAGAGAAAGCATTGTTCGTACAATAGGTCTAATTGTTCTTTTAGACCTGGAGAGTAAAAGTACTTTTGAAAGATCTTCTCTGATTGGAATCTAGACAGGTGATTACCCTTCAAGTGAATCATAGAAAGGATTGCTGGCACAAATGGTTTGGGGACAACAACTCTGTGAGATTCTTGAAAGAGGTTTGAATCAGTGTGTTTAACGATCAAGAGACCATCATCTATGATGGCATTTTTAAACACAGCATTTAGAGTTCTTGATGCGGATTTTCGAGGAGAGTCACCTGTGCTGATAATTTCTAGAGCTTTTGCCAGGTCTTTGTCTTGAGATTGAATTGATCTCCATAGTTGTTTGTTGCCTATGGGCAGACCTTGTGGAGAGGATAGCAGGTTTAATGTTTGTTGAGATGTAGCTGCTATTATGCAGGGGTTTGTGTCTTTGGAGAAGAAATCGGAGAGGGTTGGGATTTCTGTGACACAAGTTGACATGCATTGAGTGTCATCAGGAAGTTCTGCTAGAAATCTTTCTACAGCGCAGTCTTTGGACCTACAAGTGATATCTAGGCGGGATGCTGGATCTGGTATGATGTGTTGGCCTGTCTTGGCAGAGGAGTGGAGAAAAGTGACAGGTCTCCTGTTGATGCATATTAGAATCATTTGTAGCCTGGGATTGCGTGAAAGCTTCCCTTGGCGCATTCGTTCAACAGCCTGAACAACTGCTTTGCAGTCAGGAGTTACATAAGTTGGTTTGTGGGATGCTAATATCCAATGGGAGCAAGCATTTATAGCCATTGCAGAGGCGACGCCTTCAATTTCACAAGGCAGCCATTTTTGCATGTAAGGCTTAATTTTGGCAGAGTAAAACTGGACTGGAAGGAGTCTTAGTTTGGATTCAACCAATCTTTGGACAAAAAGTGCCCATCCAATGCCTCCTGGTACTCTTGCACCATCTGGCATTAGTATGAGTTGCTCTTCTGGAGATGGAAGAGTCAGAGCATTTACTTGTTCAAGGTGAGATTGTGCTTTGTTGAATGCAGCTATTAGGTCAGGAGTCCATTCAAACTTGTCTCGTGAGTCAAGTTTAGCAGTGACTTGGTCGAATGGATCCATTACAGCTGCTAGATGTGGTAAGGCATTTAAGAGGGTCTTGTAGAGCCCTTTCCAGCTGTTGACTTGTTTTACTGTTGTTAGCTGCGTGATTGATGATTTCCCAAGGTTGGTGATAATGTGGTCAGATGGCATGACCATGCCATCTTTAATTCGCCAACCAAAGACTTCCATATCTCTTGGGAATATCTTTACCTTGTTTGGTGAAATCTTCATATTGTTGTCATTGAGTTTGGTAAGGACAACCTTCCAATTCTCTATGGCTTCGGAGATGGAAGAACCTCCTACAGCAATGTCGTCACGCTCAGCGTAACAAATACCTTGGGCTAGTTCATTGCCTAGAATC